TTAGGGAGTTCATTTATTAAATAGTGTTACTATACTATCATAGTGTACGTGAATTAGCTCAATGATTGCAGGTTTACCATAATCCTTAACTACCAACATAATAAGTGGGAACTTCTGCCTAAAAACAACCTTACTAGTAGCATCCAGTGACAGAAAACTGACCTACATACTCCAAAACAAGCAAAACGTTCAAAAAACCTTTAAAATTCAATGGAAAACGAATTCACGAAAACATATAACCAGTAGACGCAGGAACCCATCATGACCTTGAAACTGACTATAGCGTCTTTCGACATTCATTGCCTTCTGGTGATGACGGAACGCGCTACACTGTAGGTAGACGCCATCGCTATTCCGGATCAACGTGCAAAGACTGCAGCCGTCGCAGTGATTAGACATACCGTTGCAGACAATGGTGTACCAAGGACGACATTGAAAGATAAGGGCCATTATTTTGAAAGTGAGAAATTTACACAGTACCAACCACAAACGAGCGGTCTGACAGAGAAATAGCCATGAACTTAGGGAGTGACTTGCCTCAAAGGGAGGCAAATGAAAGACAGAGGTTCTATTGGTTCTATTAGCACGTCGTGCCTCCGTTCAGGAAACAACAGTTCCAGTTGATGTATGGTAGCAAACTATGACCAACAATACACAGTTAGACCTGGCCGCACCACTAGAAGTAAATTCACCATACATCGAAATATGTGTAATTTATATAATAACTTATCCATGCCTGTACAACTGGTATGTTCCTGCATAAACAGGAATAAATATATATATAAAGGGATGGTATATGGAGCGGGAATGAGCAATCAGAAACGTGAAGCAAAAACGGAGGATTGCCGCTGTGAAATTTGGACGGAGAGAATAAAGTGCAGAAAGTTTGAATTAGGAGATCAGCCCAACTGTGGAGAGAAATACGCACTGTTGGTGATAGTCAGGGATCACGGAAACTGCCTCCAAAGTGAGAAGAAACACATTGGTAGACGTGGCCTTGTTAAATCCATCAAAAAGGGGAGAAAAATAGGAACGTATTATCGTCAGAAAACTCCAGAGATCTCAACAGTCAGAAAAAGAGGTTGATACCACAACAAAACAATAGTGGCTGGCACCATGAAAGTTGTCACGGCTTCTCCCGAGGCTTTCTGACAAGATCGAGTTCGGCGTGCGGCACTGATAAGAACTTGTAGGCAGTACATCGTGCGTTGTCTTTAACAAGAACCTTTAATACTGGAGTGATGGAATGATTTGCCAAGAGGTGAAACGAAGACCCTGCTCAAACAGTGAAGAAAGCATGAAATGAAACCAAAAGTAGCGGGAAACGAATAACTCATGTAAGTAGAAGTTGTAATGTAAGGTTTTATATTTCGACGGCAATGGACATCGTTTTGTCAAGTTGAAAATTCTGCAACCAAATAGCTTTGTGTAACACTTCAACATGTCATCACTCAGCATTCTAGAGAAGCATAAACATACGGAAGCCACCGGTAAAACCCCGGCAGATATTACCTCGATTTCTGGTCTCTACCGGACCCTTAGGGGTGCAAATTTAAGGGGTATGGACAGAAAACTGTCCAGGCTGCGTCACATGGCCTGTTTATAAAGGTACCGCTTGAACCACAGATGAGCAGCAGCTACCACGCGTTAGTAGTGCTTTACTTGGGGATAATTCTCAAGCTGAAAACTGCCACGATAAATCAAACTACGAGCGGGCGAGAGAAGCCATAATGTCTGTGTTCTGATCGTAAGAGTACTATTCACCAGCTATTGGTAAGCACTGGAAGTGGGTGGAAGGGGCTCTGAAGGAAGCTATACGTGATTCTGAGAATACGATAACTGTAACCTTCATAAGGACTACTGATTGGAAGGAGATATGCAGCGTCTTCTTAACAGAAGAAGAACGCCATGGTGGGAATGGTGACCCTCGTGGGAGCAGTCAGACCACATCTCGTACCTACTTCCAAGAAATCTACGCCACAACAAAATCCAAGAGATAGAGGAACATCTGATGCAAACCTATTCAAGAGACGAAGCAAAAATCACCAAAAATATTAACCTAACATTGTCTGCACTTAGGAACCAGAAGAGTCGATCCCTGAACAATTCGGAGACAGCCGAAGTCTCAGGTTATATATTCTAGAGACTATTAGATGGCATAGGTACACCACGGCAACACGGAGTATTCAGACGCCGTAGACAGTACTCGTACACATATAACTTCGAGGATGGTTCTATAGAAAATATATGATAAGTAGCTCTCAGGCAGCATGCTGAAGCTCTCTGCTCCCACCAGGTAAGCTGCATAGGCACCTATTGATCGAACATCACTTATCACAGGATGGGAAGCAGGTTCTCCTATAACCGATATTTGAAAGTAGGAATGGTATGAGTTCGCTACTTCAGAAAGACACCTGACTGCATACGACAGAAGAACAGTAGATATTATTAAACCTTCGCTTTTCTCCTACGTATTTCGCGCAGTTTGACTTTTGTGTTTAAATCCTTTTTACCCTACATAAACAGGTAAATTTATCACCTTTTTCCACTTGAACTAATCGTTTACAAGAAAGGCTATAGAATTCCATTACCAAAACTTATCGTGGAAATAATATTAGAAAAACAATAAAAAATGATGAACCCCGCGTTAGTTATATATTTTGAATTATTAACACCTATTATATACTTCTGCACCTCTCTTGCGGTTTTCTTGTGTCTTCTTCACTTCTCAAACGTACTGCCTTCAACAAGGGAATTGATACAGTGATACTGTCCTCTACGTCAGTGTTAACCGAATGGAGCGTTGGGATCACTAGAACCTACACTTTGCAATTACTCAGAATATTGCTAACACCTGGTGAGTAGCATAACCAGCTTCCTCATGAAATCTGCTGACAAGTTCAAAGTTGGTTTCATGTACAACTGAAGAGGTCCCAATTATGGTGTACTTGCCGGTGACTTTGAAATTTTATAGACTTTTGAACACTCTGTCAATCATTCACTGATGATTATTGTTCATTCTGCATCCTTTGCGTTTCACTTCAGCACGTGTACTAAAATGCTACTTAACTCCCACTATTAACGTAATCATTTATGATTCCCACATGAATTGACATGACGTATTTTTTTCATTTAAAATTTAGATTTGATGCTGTATCTTATAACTTATTCGGTCGAAAGCAGATTTCAAAAATTATCTATTCACTTATTTTTACATTTCTTTTTAATGTTTCTCTCACATAAATCAGTGTTCAATGTATATCTAAATTAGAAAATCATATTATATATTATATATGCATAATTAGTGTACAAATGTTTATGCCTGTGAAGATGGCTGGTTTCTGTTCCAAAAACAAATTATCATTATTATTATTAAAAATCCAAGGTGCTGTTCATCTGAAGCTTTACCACCAACAATATGGAATGCTATGGGAAGCTCTCTTGACAGGCACTCCAGGGAACATGTGAGTGAAGATAGTATCCCTCAATAAGATCAAAATGAATCATACCCGCACTACTATTTGGCGATAGTTTGCAAGAAGCGGATAGTATTCCGCCACCAGTCTTCCGATCCATGTCTTATTTCTAATCCAGCGTTTCCGATATCCTAATCTGGAAAATTTCCTAAATAAAAACTGGCGAACTACCAATATCTTGAACTGGAGCCCACCTGAATTGAAAGGGCGTTAGGCAGAGGGAACAGCAGTCCCAGGAAGCCGCAAGAAGCAATTCTCGGTTCACTGCTATCCTTCTTTTTCATAAGCTGCCGCCATTGAATCATAGGCTCCCAAACACTTCTCTACACAGAGGTTTTAAAGCTGTTGAATGCCGTTGGGAATTGAGAGAAGTCGAAGACCTAATCAGCCTAGAAAAAAGGGCCACATGAGGCTATCTTTCAATACTAACAAGTGTTGAGGATGTTCAGCCGCACAGTAGTAGAACAGAAATCCTATACCACCTGTGTGGAACAGGCTTCCATTAGACGGATAAAGGAAGTGATATACGCTGTTGTTGATGGCGAAACTGTAATCAAGCGCCAGATACATGAGATATTCAGCCCTATCAGAACAGAGCTCTCTATTGCTCGATCGCACCACCAGGCGCATTTACACCCAAACTTTTCATGTGGGTCTACAAGACGCATGCACGCAAGATAGAAGTGATTCAAACGCCGGGTAGCTTTCGTGCTCTTCTGTGGTCGAGCTCATCAGAGGTGTACCGAATTTCACTCAACTCAGACAGTCGAATTAGTTGAAATCACAAGAATTCTGGGGAACCGATAGTTTATTGAGGTGAGTTCGCGATTTGCGAGTTATGTAGTTTCAGGTGAAGTTTCACAACAATCTCCTTTGGGAGGTGAAATTACCCATATGACAGAATGCCATTTGCTTGTTACACTTCGAGCCGGACACATCACTGATGGGCTCCACCCCAAGCGAGCGAAATGGCTCTTAGGCGTTTATATCACTTTGGTCCGGCTAGCAAGCACTACTGGTTGATGTGTGTAGTATCTAAATTTCCTTATAATCACTCAGTGGCATAAACCATCATGCATTTAGAGGCTAACCTCTAAGAATTAAAAGGAGGAGCAACCCAAACCGTCACCAGGCCAAAATCCTGACCATATGATGACTGAGCCCGGAATTTGGATCTGCATAGTTCATGTAATCCACCGAAAATCCACAGTCGTTCCGAAACAAAGAAATGGACCTCCGAAAAATCACAGGAATTATAGAAGCTCTACTAGGAATACCAGAGGCTATTTGGGTGATAATCGCAAGCTATTAAGGCTAAATATCAATTTTTCATCTTTATATTGTGCCTAGCAGATAACGGGCCTATGTCGCTCATCACGAAACATTTTTCTGAACAATTGTGGAGGAATCGTTTTAAACCTCTGGTGGTTGACTTCAAGGAGTGAGCGCGAAACATTCTGTCAATTTGTGGGAGAGCATCACTGGTACTAGAGGTTAGGGGTTGTAGCTTCCTCGCTATCATCAATGTCTGCTGCAGTTCGTAGATTAAAAAAGGTAGGTCTAATCGTTTGAATTTTGGTTTCAGGTAGTAATTCGTAAGGCAGCCATCTTCCTAAATTAGTTGGTTCAATTGTACATACGTATGACTGGATCATAAATATATATTTATTAAATTTAGGCTAAATACGCCTCACTTTATAAGAGATTTCCTACTAGCTTATTTTAAAGTGAACGTTAAGAGTCGTAAAAACAACAGATGACAGCTTTGGACTTGCGAATGTGTGGTCATAAACTTTCTGTCGTAGTAGAAAGGTTATGTAAATTCTCACACTAGGAAAAATAACAGTTGCTTTATAATAAAGGTAAGTAGTCGGACGTAAATATTTATGGTACTGTCTACTGCGTAAGAGTCCAAAGTTGTCTCAGACTGTTATGGACCATTACTCACGCTACTTGATGAAGTAGTGGCTCTACGTGATAACCTATAATGTAAGACAGTTTTTAGGCCAGGAAGGAGGCGTAGTCCTAGAGAAATCCGATACTCGAAGACAACACGTGTGTGAATGATACACACACTTCCTGGTTTGGAAACACTACTCAGCTTCAATCAAAGGATGTGTGGTTTGAAATGATGTGTCAGGATAATACTATGCTAACCAATCCTTATTCTCGCTCCCGAAGCCTAGGAAGAGTTCCCATCTAAAGTGATTATGATTAAGAACCCTCATTGTCATCACTCCTGTGGCGTCCTCACAGATGTACTGGTATGTTCGGTATTAGGAGATATTGTCCTTTTGATTACAAATACTGTCAGTGTACTGGGAAGTAATTAGGATTGTTTTAACTCCTTTTAATTAAGACTAGAATTTGTTTGCAATTACTGCTGGATTACGAATGATGAATAAATTGGTCGGGTGTGTTGGCGGAACTTCTACATATACAATTTAAGTTGGTGCGTCGGTGGCACAGTGGTTAGGACGCTCGCCGACCATGCACATGGTCCGGGGTTCGATCCCCTGCCGGCGCACACCCGATATCTATGGTCAGCCTGAATTTGGGCTACCGATATCCATGCTGAAAATTCCACACTTGTACTGAAAATACGGTGTGGAATCAAGCTGTAAATCAAAATCAAATCAAATCAAGTGGTGATGAGTGATAAAATAAAACTGAGTCGACTTGTGCTTCAGAGATAGGGAGGTCGTTATTTTGTAATATAAGTAAAGATTATTATGAGGATTAGTAGCCTGGTTATTGTTAGTGTCAGGACTGTAAGTTGGGTTTTGATTATTCAGATTAGAGCTGGGGTCTTGATATTATCTCGGAACTTAGTGTGATAGATTTTAAGTCCTAGTTTTTTCAGTGGTATCATTTAATGGTAAAACAGTTATCTGACAGTCAGGTTTTGTAACGGTATTGGAATACTTTTATTCTCATTGATAATTGTAACTCAAATTTGTTTTATAATAGAATGAAGCGATACAGATAAGTTCATCGTAGTTTACATTTACAAAAGGTTTATGTATAGGAAGTACATGTACAGTTACTTATTTCTTGCCGCAGGATACTATTAGTGATCTTGTAAGCAAATCGATTTGATGTATTACCCCGATACTTAGTGCTACCAGCGTTTGCCGATCACCTATATTGCTCATGTAGTATCACAGGTATTCAGTGCATTGTTAGCTATAGTCAGGGGAGATATCCACTGACGGTAAGCCTTAAACCAAAGGTAATTATGTCACTTGTCTAGTAGCATGTTTAAAACTACCACTTATCAAAATGAGGAAGATCTTACCATATCCAATACATTTTCGGAAATGTAGGTAGGCTCCGAAGAAAGTATAAGTATTATTTTTCGAGTTATTACTATGTAGGTTATTGCGCGTTTGAAGGACCTGAGTTCACGTACCAAGAGAGTGCTTCCTTATCGTTTGTTTTGCAACTAACCTTGTTTTTTCTAGCCAATCGACAGTAAGTGAAGATTCATTAGTGAAACATTTCAACCACCTAACAGTTGTAGGTATATTGTAAATGTGAACTCAGAATGCACAGGGTGTATTGATGATATAACTGTTCAGTGGAACTTTACAAAGATTCGATGTGAGTAGCAGAATCCACGTGAATAACCTGAAAGCACTCTTGATAATACTATCTGCCTTGCTATAGCAGTAGGACATATATGTTCTGATGATAAACTCGAGTTACTTTGTCTGTCACTAAGTCTTCTAAAAGGGATTCCTAGCATCTTAGAGACATACCGGTGCAGCTTACACTCTTGTACATTCGTTAGACCAGTAATCAATGATCTGCTGCTATTTTCTGGGGGGGGGGGAAAGAGGCAGCTTTATAGGTATAAAATGTCCGACCACCTCAAAAGTTGAGGCTTCAGTCCCATCAGTTAGCTTGCCTCTGAAGCATTTAGTTCCCTTTATGAATTTCGACAAAGCAGTGCGGAAACGTAACTTACCTGAAGCGTGTAATATATTTGAGCAACTAATTTCGGACATTTACCGTTCAAGCGTAATCACCAAATTCTGATTGCCGAATAGAGACTCAGATTGGCACTCAATAGAACTTCATATGTGACTAAGCCCATTTTCGTGGAGAAAACTAAATTTATCTTGCCCTGTAAACTCTCGTAGCATCTGAACGATTGTGTTACATCCCATTGTGTTAACCAGTTTACATGTATATGCGATCACACGTACATAGGAAGGTGGTGTCCGTCAGGGATGCCCACTATCCCCATTTCTATTCAATTTCGTCATGGATGTACTAATGAACTTAACCCTAACTGCTGACTTCAGCGACTCAGGGATTGACTTGCTACCAGGGAATAATCTCGTTGACTTAGAATATGCAGATGATATGGTTCTTCTAGGTGAAGACGCTGACAAAATACAGCAGACTTCTGAACACCTTGAGCTGCAATCTGAGAATGTTTGGCATGCGATTCTCTCCCACCAAATGTAAGATGATTTTATAGGACTGGACTACACTGACTCCTATCTTAGAAATAGGCAGTGGTAGAGCACGTTAACCACTTCACTTATTTGGGAAGGTGCATCAGACAACACCAGAGGGTTGATCGCTGACGAAATCTCAGCACGGATACAGAAGGCTCGTTTCGCATATGCTAGTTTACGCCGTCTCTGATAGTAGACGTGATATCCGGCTGGCTGTCGACCAAAGAGCGTGTGTAATGGTCAGCAGTTCGCTCCATCCTCCTTAACGGCTGTGAATGAGACCTGGCCATTGAGAGCGGAAGACATGGAAATCCTGGCTAGCTGTCTTTGATCATAGGTGTCTGCGTTCTATCTCCCGTGTGAAGTCGTATAATAGGGTGAGCAATATTGAGGTTAGGCATCGGTCGAGTGCTACGTAAGGAGGGGAAATCAATAGACGAAGCTGTGAAGTTACATCGATTGAGATGGTTAGGATATGTGTTACACATGTCTAGCTTAGCCATCGCCTTCCTCGATGGGCAATGTTAGCTGGCTGACATACAATCAGGTTACAAAAGAGCTAGTGGTGGTCAAACCAAAACATGCTTTCATCAGTCAGTGAAATCCACAACAGTTAGTTTAAGCCAGCTAGCCACGTAGGAAGGTGTAGACTGCCTGACTGGTTGGGGTCCTCGCGATGGTAAAAATCAATGTCTGGCAACAATTGGTGATATGGCTCAAAATCGTTCTCAATGGTGCAGATGCATCCACTCCTTGTGACTTATAATTTCCAATGAAACTATATTGTTCTTCGTTGTTACTATTCCTTTTGTCTCATATCCCTGTTTACTGTCTCTATTTTGCATTTCTTCTCTTGCTTTGTGGTACATGGAGTGTGGCGACTTGAACTGCTGCACATCAGTGCAAAGTTCTGTGTTGAAAACAGACAGACATAGGAAGAACCCATTGATCTTTGCAAGCTGATCATAGAACAAATAAATTCGTCGGAAACACAATTAACTCAGGAAAAAATCCAACATATTCTATTGTAGAGCATATTATAGAGACGGGTTATGAAAACAGTGTCATTAGTGCTTTCAAAATCCGTATGTAAGACAGGTTTAGGTAGTATACTGAAATTTGTTGAAATCTTAGCCATGAAAAGATATTTAAACTTGTTGCGTTCAAATATTACTTGTTATTATTCTGAACCTGCTTTGGTAATCTTAATTCATAACTAAGGTTAATTATACTTAATCATGCTTTACACCCCCCGTTTTTATTCCATACTTCTCATCTGTGATCGTGATCCGTAAACATTTTGACCTGCTGATAGAATTTTAATCCTTAATGCTCTGTCAGCTTTTATACAAGTGTATGACAGGTGAGTCTGTGATCCGGTATGTGTTGCGCAAATACATTACACGCTTCAGATAACTTTCTCACCTAAAACTGCTCCATCTATGATGGTTGCCGGCTACATTGCTTCGCTACCTGCGAATTAAATCACCAGAAAAGATCTTAAGGAAGAACGTGCCTTGTCATTCCGGTATCGATTAAAGATATATTATATATATATATATGCATTATATGAACATAACTTTTCATTTAAAGGAATATTTTTTTGACATTTTACAACTTTATTATCGCATATTTTTTCTCTCATCACAATCCAATGCAATACTGATGGCTGATGTATCTTAAGGAATATGAAACACTGGTTAATTCAAGCATCAAAAATGTGATTAGAAATGTTACATATGATGAACCGAATTTTTTGACGTGGACAGGACTCATAGTACTGGTAAGTGCTACTATTTCTCATTTACTTACTGCATTATTTAAATAATTTAAATCTTTAGAGTATATGTATTTGAACGTTGAATGTTTTTAATTTGGTCTAGCCATGTCATTCTATGTATTGAATTACTTTACTCCATACAAAGTAGTATCGTTTGTTGAATGATGTTTCAAGCATAGTTATCTGTGCATGATAATTTTCTCTAGTGTGATGAGAGCAGTTGTTATTTCCACTGGGATTTAGATGATTTTAGCTTTGCAACTGACTGTTTTCAACGTTTTTTAAGGATTGTACTACTAATGATTACAACACCGGTTAAGATGTTGTGCATTACATGTATATTCCAGGTATTTGAATCTATTCTACTTCGGGAATCTTCAGACACTAGATATGACTTGTATCGGCTTACATTTTTACGCTAGTGGTGGCTAGTGAACTAATTGGTGCAAGGGAAGCAAATGTTATATATATATATATATATATATATATATATATATATATATATATATATATGGATAAGACATTTAAAAACGAATTGTTTTCAGAATGAAAAATCGATTAGTGTATCTGTTTTTTGACATGCCTTCCAGTTTGTGAAATAAACCCTTAATGCTTTGGTACCCCATCCCCTTTTCCATTCATGGTAAAACATTTAGAACGATATCTATGGTCCCCAACAGACAATTCAGATTTAGAGAAAATGATAAATATGAATCATCCTTACATTGAATATATTCACCTACATCATAAAGTATTTTGTGCATTGGTTAATGTATTATATGACACAGAATTTTATTTGCTTACTTGTTTGGATTAGTTAGGCGTTATGATGTGAAAGTCATTCCAAAAGGAATGTAGAACTGCAGGTGACTGCACTCCTTAAATCACAAAGGCGTTTCAGTGAGTAGTTATTCAATAATTACTGAACTCTAGAACTATAAGCAAGAAACAGAAGGGGTACACGGTTGAATGGAAATTATAACTTTTAAGTTTCAAGAATTAACTTGGATGCCTTCTTTATCAGTATGCAACTTGACTAATGCATATGCTTCGTTTACTTTGGATATAGCGTCGGTGGCACAGCGGTAGAGTGCTCGCCGACCACGCAGGTGGTCCGGGGTTAGATCCCCGGTCACGGACGCACTCCTTTACCTCGCTAAGCCAGTAGTAAGACTAGTAAAGAGGGAAGGTTGGATAGGAGGCTAGCAGCTCCGTCCTGTAAAAATAACCACCACTGCTACAGAAACTTCAAGGCTCTAGTTTGAAGCCGTATGTTTCACTGGGAACGTAAAGGAATAAAAAAATAACAATAACCTTGGATTTGGCATATATATACACATATATATATATATATATATATCATTGTTTAGGTGTAATAATATGTTCACCTGATATTTTCGTTTTTAAATTTCCATTTAGGATGAACCTCCTTATAACAAAGGGGCGTTTAGAATTGAAATCACATTTCCAGTTGAATATCCTTTCAAGCCTCCGAAAGTGATGTTCAAAACGCGTATATATCATCCAAATATAGATGAAAAAGGTCAAATCTGTTTACCAATAATCAATCCAGAGAACTGGAAACCGGCTACTAAAGTTGAACATGGTGAGTAACGATGTCTAGTAGTGTTAAGTGTAGCATTTGAAGGTTTCAACATTTTTTGTTTGTATTAGCGAAAGATCATACTCAGAAGAGGGTGAAGCAGTCTTTAGTCTACCATTTGTTACTCAGTAAGCCTTTTGAGTTGTTCAAGTGTGATTTTTGTGTTTCTTTATTTTTATTTTGAGTATAAGTGAATGTGCTTTACTTGAATCAAATGTAAGATGATGCTACAGGATGGAAATACATAGACTCTTACCGTAAAGATGAGGAGTGAAATGGTAGGGCGTGTTATTTGGGAAGTTGCATCAGTTCCAATGGGCTGATAGCTGAGGAAATCTCAGCACATATACAGAATACCTGTGTGGCATTTCTCAACTTATGCCATCTCTGGCTTAGTAAATGTGATATCCGGCTATCGATCAAAGGATGTGTATACTGCTCAGCAGTTCCTCCTGTCCTCGTTTATGGCTGAGACTCAGCTATTGAAAGTGGAAGACATAAAAAGGCTAGCTGTCTTCGATCATAGCTGTTCGTTCGCGTTCTATCTCTCATGTTACGTGGTATAATATGGCGAGTAATATTGAGGTTAGGCATCGGTCGAGTGTAAGGTAAAGACGGGGAAATCAATTGATGAGGTTGTGAAGCCATATTGATTGCGATGATTAGGACATATGTTGTTATTCATGCCTAGTCATCACCAATGTTAGCGGATATAGGATTAGGTCAGAAAAGTTAGTGGTGGTCAAACCAAGACTTAGCATCAGTCCATGAAATCGTTGACAGTTTGAGCCACGTAGGGAAGTGTAGACTGCCTGGTTGGGGTCCCCCGGGATGATGAGAAGCGATGGCTGTAGGTAATTGGTGACATGGCTGAAAATTATTCTCAGTGGAGCAGACGCATTCACTCTTTGTGATTTCCCATATTCATTAAACCTCCATGTTACAAAGTCAGGAGTCAGTAGAAAGGTAGTGAATAGTCGACCTCAAGTAGCTGTCACTTGAGCTATGCAGGCAAACTTTAGGCCGATAAGAGCATCCCCGCTAATCCAGTGGCTTCTTTAGTTCCACGATGTGTAACTCACCTGCCGGCATAACTGTCTCCTGAAGTAGACCAAAACAATTCTATAATGCTACTGTCAGATCATACGTCAACCTGTGTTTGAATATCATGTGTCAGTTACTCGCCTATGACACTGGTTGGTGATTGCGCTGTTGTAAAAATATCGCTAATCCCGGTGGGTGCGTACTGATGAAGAGTACCAAACTAGGACGAAACAGCTGTCCAGTACTCCCAGGTTTTTCAATGGTTCTCTAACTAATGTCAGCTCATGATGAAAATCCTGATATCGCTAATTGTCAGAAGTTGAGATTCGTGAGCTATTCGATTGGGTCCCAGTAGCTAAATGGTCTACGAGCCTGACTTGTAACTGGAAGGTCCTGGCCTTGAACCTCAGTGGGTACGTACTGCTAAATATTCGCAAACTAGGCTGATGAAACACCTGTCCATTAGTCACAGTTGATTTTCAATGGTTCTCTAAAAGATGTCAGGTCGTGATCAAAATTGAATGTTATAAATCTACTAGTCCAGATTTGACTGCTTACGCCTTGATTTCGTGGCGTATAATAAACAACATTGGTTACATTTTTAACATATTATCCCAAATAGTTACTGTGTTGTTTCCGATAATATAATTGTAATCGAGATATCTCATCACTCGTCCTTGGTGAAGGTTATAAATAACGTCGATTTACATCTGAAGAGCATTGATAGTATATGACAAGAACAAACCTGTTAGGTTGAACATATCTTATCTTATTTTTTTACTCCTTAACAAGATTGAGGATTTTACAAACAGTAACTAGTTACTTAGTACATTCGAATAAGTAACTAGACGTGTTTGGTGTTTTAATCATCACTATTCCGTATCTCTCAGCATCAAAAATAAGATCCGGATTTTCAACTTCAATGTGAAGTCAGTGCTACTGTACGGATCAGAGACTTGGCGCGTCATAAAGAGTATCTCAAACAAACTACAGACCTTCATTAACAGTTGTCTTCGCTCAATACTCAAGATCAGATGGCCAGAAAAGATCGGCAATAGGGATCTCTTGGAACGAACCAACCAGGAACCAATTGTGAAACAAATATGCAGAAGGAAATGGAGATGGATTAGATGGCCATACTCTGAGGAAACCATCAAGTGACATCACTAGACAAGCCACTGCTCGAGTGGAACCCGAAAGGGAAGCGGCGGGTTGGTCGTCAGTGCAAGGGTGACTTGGAGGAGGTCATGTGAAGAGGATATGAAAACGTGTGGGCAGACATGGAGCCAGGTGAAGACTCTAGCAGAGAACAGAACGCAATGGAGACGCGTGGCTGAAGCCCTATGTTCCTCTAGGAATTAAAGGATATAATAATAATATTAATTCCGTATCTTCCAACTCTCTTGATCTCATAAAAAATGGTTGCTTTATCTAGATACTCATCATCGATTCAATACGTTTAATCCTAATACTTTAGGGTAACACGTTTTCATGAATTTCGTGTTTCATTTTAAAGGTCATTCTTTATTATCGACTATAGTTTTTTTCTCTTCTCTGCACTCACATTATTGATATCTGTCAAAGTGTTGTAACGTCTCCTTTTTTCTTTCTTTCTTTTTTCTTTGTTTTACAGTGATTCAAGATCTCGTTGCAATGCTTCATGCTCCTGAAGTTGAACATGCTCTTCGTTCAGACCTAGCTGAGGAATATGCTAAAGACTTTAAAAAGTTTCATAAAAACGCAGAAGAGTTTACACGAAAATATGCAGAAAAAATACCAAATGTGTAAATTGTCTTGCCTAAGTTACAATGAAATATTGATGACTTCATGATTTCTTCTCATATATATTAAATCTCTTTTTGTTTTTTCCTTGCCTTCCTCATTCTGTTTTCTGGGTGATTCCAAGTGGTGGTATTTGTTTTTGACAAGGGCACACACGCGCGCGCGCCCGCCCGCCCACGCACACACTTACACTTGCTCTCGTAAAAAGTTCTCTGGCGGTCTTCATATTTGATTGATACTGATGTCTCTCTATCATGTTTCTCTTTTGTTGAAGGATTGTGTATGTATATGTGACTAGACTAGTTGTTGTTGTATTCTGAAGATTGAATAGTGTTTCTCTTTATCCCTCTGTCTTCTGTCTCTCGTTTCGATTCTGACAGCTTCTTTCTTTCGTGATGATTTTTTGCACTTTCAACAAACACACTACATGAACACGAATGGGCGCTGTGTTATCCCGCATACACACACATATATATATGCACATGTATTTATGCATTTCGAAGCATGTCGTCAATATGTGATCAGAACTCTAAAGTCGTCACCATCTTGATATCGAATAATAATAATAATAAGACTACTGTTTTACTTTCTGATTACTTTTTATCTAAAATTATGTTATTTTGTTCTCAAGTTAGTTATTGTTTCTTGTCTTGAATATGTACTGAGTTTGTCTGAAATGCATAAATATATACATATATGTATGTGTATGCTATGGTGGGGGGGGGATAGTTGCTGCACTGTTGTTGTTGTTGGTGGTGGTGGTTTGTGAAACGTGGAGATTTTTCTATGAATATTAGAGGTTACTACTTGGCTGCTTAATGGGAAGTAGTAAAAGAGATCAGATTTTCATGAGTTTGTTTGCTTGTTTTTTTGTTTCAAGTTTGATCACGGATTCACTGATATCAGTTAGAGAGAGAGAGAGATCATCGAAAAAACCAGCTGAGAGTACTGGACAGTTGTTTCGTCAGCCTGACTGACTGGTTTCCACATAGAACTTTGCACTGATGTGCAGCAGTCCGAGTTGCCACACTTCACTCAGCACACAAAGCCGGAGAAGAAGAAGAAAGTAAAAAGAAGTGCAAAAGAGAGACATGAGGCAAAAAGAATAAAGCCATATAGTTTTATTGGATATTCTAAGTCACAAGGAGTGGATGCATCTGCGCCAACCATTGAGAACGATTTTGAGCCATATCACCAATTGTTACCAGACATTGGTTTTTACCATCGCGAGGACCCCAACCAGTCAGGAAGTCTACACCTTCCTACGTGGCTGACTGGCTTAAACTAACTGTTGTGGATTTCATTGACTGATAAAGTCATGTTTAGGTTTGACCAACACTGGCTCTCTCTTTTCCAACCTGAGTCGGCTAACATTGCCCGACGAGGAAGGCAATGGCTAGTCTATGCATGCGTAAGACATATCCTGACCATCTCGGTCGATGTAACTTCACAACTTCGTCTATTGATTTCCCAGCACTCAACGCCTAAACACACCCTAGTATACGCAGACACCTATGATTAAAGACAGCTAGCCAGGCTTTTCATGTTTTCCACTCTCAATGGCCAGGTCTCACAGTCAGCCGTAAAGGAGGATGGAGCGAACTGCTGACCATTACACACGCCCTCTGGTCGACAGCCAGCCGGTTATCACGTCTACGCCAAAGACGGCGTAAACTAGCATATGTGAAACTAGCCTTCTGTATTTGTGCTGAGATTTTGTCAGCGATCAACCCTCTGGCGTTGGCTGATTCAACTTCCTAAATAAGTGAAGTAGTCAACGTGTTCTACCATTTCACACCCTATTTCTATGATAGGAGTCAGTGTAGTCCATTCCTGTAACATCATCTTACATTTGGTGAGAGCGAATCGCATGCCAAACATTCTCAGATTGCAGCTGAAGGTGTTTAGAAGTCTGCTGTATTTTGTCAGCGTCTTCACCTAGAAGGCAACTTCGTCAACTTACTTTGGGCCTCGTCAGCAGTACGCGCACCCACTGAAGTTTTGACCCAAGACCTTTAGGTTACAAAACGAGCCCATAGATCTATGCATTCTAACTTGTACCAATTGGTGATGAGTCCGAAACTAGGATGAAACAGCTGTTCAGTACTCCCGCTTACTTTTCAATGGTTCTATATCTGATATCGATCCGTGGTCAAACTTCAAAAACAAATCAGATTGTATTGTGTAATGATTTTTTCTTCCAATTAGTGATACTTTTATATTCAATGTGTCGTAAGTTATCAGAAATGCTTCATTGTTCCCTCGTTCATAATAGACTAGAGGTACGACTCATTGACTTAAGCATTCAGCCTTGATGCGATAGGTTAAAGGGATTAAGCCGTACATCTGTCCAAATTAACTTCACTTTTAATAGTTTGGAGAAAACAAATGCGGGCATTGGGTATAATTATGAATTCATGATCAGAAAATCCGTTGTATTTTACAATTAATTAAAAAAAAGGAGGAATCAATATCAGAAGAAATGAGCACCGTAGAGCATCTGTTCGACTACCGAGAGAAATCTAGTGGAACTAGAAAAGCTTGGAAAATCATCGGCCATAGATGGTGCTGGTAGTGGTCTACACGCTGAAAAGGAATCAAGTCACAAAATTGATTTTGACAATATTAAAATCTTAAACAAAGCAGGAACAACAATTATACCAGGATAATATGAGCTCATCTTTTATTATTTCGAGGACCCTTCTCAACTGGTTACAGCCTGAACGATAAAAAAGACTATGAATTACATAAAAGATTTGAACATACTTTTCCACGATCACAAGGAGTAATTGGTAGGAAGTAAAAGTAGCATTTATCCGGAATGATTTAACTAATTAAGAGTTACAAACACTGACTATTTATAAAATAATTAGACAATTAGGCTTGGAAACAAAAACAGAGTTGCATATATATATATGTGTGTATAGAAACAAGGTTTAGCTAGAAAAAGCATAACAAAAAAGTAGATTACGTAACTAAAGAAAATGTTTTATCTAATAGCCAATATAATCGAGAAAAATTTCACAAATTACAAAGAACTTTGTCTCATATCATCAGAAGCACTGCCCAGTAAATGCAATCCAAATTGTTTGAATAGAAATGATGGATTAAGACAGAATTTGATCTGGTTCCAACTCCTTCCCCCTTCATAAACATGACAAAGTCAATGCAAATGTGATAAGCGATCTCATTGTGCAGACACATGCTGTTTTTGTAATTTCATACACTTATCAAATCCAACAATCTACACATGGTTTTGTTATCTTTACCAATTGATCAAATTGACAATGTGGAAATTACCACCTCGTGCTGAAAAAAGATGATTAATTTGCTGAAAATAAGTTATTAGCAGCACTAAATAACGAAACGTCAGTAAAAACAACAATATCGTTTTGTTTTTCATTCATTGGGAAATACAAAATCTTTCATAATAATGGATTAAGCCCTATACCCTACATGCTTCGCTATGTGTCACACCGTAAACCCTTGCAGATCGAGTGTGCCATTTATGGCCTTTTACACAATCTTTTCCCGGATTGCTCAGTTGTATATTAGTAGATACGATACTTGTGTTGTTTGTGCTTGGATCATACGAGATTCCCAGGTTACAGAATCCTGTTTTATTCTTACAAGGAGATCAGACTACACAAATAATTTCCGATCATTTTTTGATGGCATACAAAACAATTTAGGCTATCATGTCTGTGTGTGTGTGCGTGTGTTATGTTTCTTTTCTCATGTTTAGTTATTGACGAAGGCTTCCTTCAGTTGTGGATGTCCTAACACAACATGGTTGGTTTTAAGTTTTGTTGCTTAGCAGCGTGTTGTATTCTGGCGCATTTGGAGTGATCAACAGTGGTATCTCATTGATACAGTATTCAATAAGGCACTATAAAAAGTATTTATAAGCCGTTATCTGAACATCTTTCCCACCAGTTGACACTGATGGAGAAAGAATAAAGAAGCGGCTATATGTGTCTTCTCTCCTTTGGTTAAAAAACATTCTTGGTTGATTTCTGTGAAAAGTCCTGTTGGCCTCACTGGAATCAGCCAATATTCCAGACTGTCAATACAAAAAGACGTTCGGCATTGCACTGATGTGGAAATATTGACTGCCATTTATTTTATTCTATAGATTTCTGATTTTGTGTAGTGGGTAGTTTGGTTTTCCCAGTCACGTCTAATCATACAACTCAAGGAGTTTTGTCTACTTACATGTACAAGTTCAAGCACAGTTTTTGGTGAATTAAAAAATCCCGAATAATAAGGAAAATATCATCTGGTGGTTCCCTTTATTGCTTTTCTAGTTAGTAATGTATTCAGTATTTTTGAATACCTTATGTGCGCATACAATAGTATGCTTTAAGTCCGGCAAAAGTGCGATGAAGGTGATTCACACTAAAATTAAAAGCTGTAACGCAGCTACAGAGGTTTACCGTCACACTGGATCTCACTTAATTCCACTGAGTTTCGTATTATGTGAGACCTAACCTGTCTGGGTTGAGGATGTGCGGCGACTCTGCGTACTTGACCATCGTTGTTTCCGCAGGATTGCTTGCGTTCGATGGCATCATGGTGTGAGTAATTCTAAGGTCTGACGGTGTGTGTTCGGAGATAGTGGAGATCACCATCCCTTGAGTGTTGTCATGTGGAAAAACCGACTTCGGCATGTGCTACGAATTTCATCCCAGAGGCTTCCGTACAGGTCTCTGTTCACCAGTCCTGGAACGGGGTGAAAAAAGTGGAGAGGTGATCAGCCCATGATGTGGCGTCGTGGGATGGGGGATATTTGTGTTGGGTCAGCATCGGTTGGTGCGTCACGACTCCTTGATTGGTGTCCGAGAAATAGCTCGAAATGTTATCGAATGTGGCTCAGAACCTCAGTCAATGGCTAACATGCTACAATTTCCTTCTTTCTTCCCTTTTCGACGATAATTTCATCACAAATTGAAAAAGTATCATTTACGTATCTTCATCAAAGGACTGAGGACGTGTTTTTTTTTACAAGATTCGCCGTAATGCACTCAGCCAATGCATTATTCTAATTCTGTTCTGTTGGTTATTTCCATCTATGTGTGACACAATGACTATACTAATGAGTTTGTTTGAGAAATACATAAACCAATTACTATATTGTGGTTTTTTGGAAACTGATTGGTGAACTGAATTTCGGCGTTATAGTAACAAAAAACAAAAACTGCTATTACAATACGTGTTGTTCTTAATTAATTATGAGTACAAATTCGAGATAGTACTAAATGTGTGAACATCTACTTCTTCATTCGATTTGTACTGTAATTCTTTGTGTCTTTCAATGAATTCCTTTACTTCACTAGCCAGTGCGTCGGTGGCACAGCGGTAGAATGCTCGCCAACCATGCATATGGTTCGCAGTTCGATCCCCTGCCGATAAGGCGCCCCTCCTTTACTTCGCTAAGCCAGGGATACGACTGGTAAAGAGGGAACGTTGGGGATCATGAAGCTAGCAACCCCATCCCGTCAAAATAAACACCACTACTACTGGAAATTCAAAGCTCTAACTTGAAGCCGTATGTTCCACTGGGAACGTAAAGGAATAAAATTTTAAAAAAACTAGCGTTAAACTGTTATGAAGGCAGATGATGCTGTGGTGAGAGCTGGCTGATAGCCAAATTAATAGACATTAATTTACGTCAATGTTTATGTCCAAATATTGGTCGTGAGAAAAATAAGAACAAAGAATTTGCGTAGGCGGATACAATTAGCATACAGATGATCTGGCATTCAAGAAACAGCCACAAAGACATGAAAGATTAACTTTCAGTGAGAAACAACCAATCAGAAGACTGTGTTTGTTTACTAAAAATAATCTATAATAATATACATGAAAATCTATAAATATGTGTTGATTTCCTTAATAAACAATCTGTTGCCTGTCTTCTGTTGTTACAATACTACTGATAAATTTCATTGTAAGACTTGATAAAACAAAGTATGATGAGCTTTCTAGTTGTTAGAGAACTCTGTCAACCGGAACAGATTTTTCATGTGTACCAAGTGCCAAGAATCACACTTATTATATTAGTGTTAATGTTACCTACCCAAATGCCTACGCTGAAGTAGGTTAGGAGTGGGACTCGAATGTAGAACCTATTGACTGAAAGGTGACACATCTCCACCCCCCAGTAAACTTCCACCTTGAACTGTATGTTATTTGCATTTGACAGGTTTCATTCTTAGAGATGATGCGATCCGATAATCAAAATGGTGTGAGTAAAGTGGGAATTTATTTGACACCTACCTACACTAGGCTGTAGCTAGCTAACTAACAAGGGAAAGGATGGATTCTGAACAACAAGTGTCTGGCACACGACAAAGTAGTAGCAGTTTTTGATTGGACACTTGTCAGTAACTAGTGTAATGTGTCTGGTCCTATCTTCAATGCAGACTGAATTCTATCAGTCAAGTTTGCAGAAGGTCAATCGTGAGCCCGAATAGCTCAGCGGTAACGTCTCCGACTGCAGCAATTGATGACGCGGGTTCGAATCTCCTGAGGAGGGACGTGAGTTCCTTTAAGACTGCAAATACGCCTCGCTGACTGATGAGTGCCAACTAGCACGAAACCTAGATCTAAGACTTCTTGTCGATCGCTTCCAACCATCTAATTACCAACAAAAAAACTAGCTACTAGTCATTTCACAATATAAGCAATCAACTACACAGTTTTTCCCTGTAGTCCAGTCCCCGAAGAAGATTTTGACAGAAGACATTTTCAATCCAGTAGTTGTTTTATATGTATATCAAAACTTATAACACCTCCCCACATTCATAACATAATGATATCAAAACTGACAATCACAAAAATAAGAACATTTCACATATTAGTTGGAATACACATATGTATACATATATATATATATATATATATATATTTGCGTCGGGTCCTTGAAACGCCACAAAAAGAATCAGCAACCATACAAGCGAGGTGGAGGGTTACAAGAAATTGGCACAAATAGAAGACCAAGCAGCAGTGTGACAGAGCAATCTAGTCTCCAAGGAAGAAGTAATTCCCGCTCTTTTTCTGATCAACATCTTTAACTGAATTCAGTTTGTTTATCCTTGGTCTAGCATTGGTTGGATCTCTTCTGAATGTAATATCAAGTGATTGTAAGAATTTATTCATCCCAGTGACTAGATTCTGTGGTCTGTAATAAGAAGTAAAAATATTAATAATATTTTAATTTTTCAAATAGTCATGTAATGCAGAGTCGAAATAAATTAGATCAGCATTTGTGTATCGCAGTTTCGTCCTCAAAAGCAATTGTACAATCACATTTTTATACATAACTTCACATAGTCACAATTACTATTATTATTTATTATTTTTCAAGAGTTGGTTTGTATGGAATAAATTTGTTTTCTTACGAGTTTGACCCTGGATTGATATCAGTTAGAGAAAACCAGCTGGAAGTACTAAACCGCTGTTTCGTCCTAGCTTGGGACTCACCTGCAGTACACAGTCACTGGTTGTCAAACCTAGGACCTCCCGGTTACAAGTCAGGCTCGTAAACCATTCAGCCACTGGGACCCCATTCAATAATGGCCCACGACTTCTAACTTCTACCAATTCGTGATTAAGCGCGACCACCAACCAATGTGTCATCGGTGGGACATCCATCCTCACACTTGACTGTCTGGACCTCACTGGTCACGACTTCTCACTTAATTCAACACAGTAACGGAGGGAGATTAAAAGGTGATAATAATTAATAATTCTCAACTTGACATGGAAGTTTGAAAGTGTGAATACAGATTACAAATGACATAGGAACTAAAATTATATAGAATACGAAAAGAGTTGAGTAATGTGTACGATAATTTTTATAACTGAAGGTGAAGAAATGAAGACAACCACTCCTTCTAAGCACAGTGAAGAACAAACTCTTGTATATGAACATTCCAATGTGTATATATATACACATCAGTTCATCCTTTTTGTGGGGCTAAGTACACACAGGTAGTTCTATGCGTGTCCTTTAAAAATGTGGTCGAGAACACTGTCCACCCAGCATGGCTGTAAAGAGGCGGTACTGGCCCCAGTCAGAAGCACTATAATTGAACACTTGTCACAGCATCTCATCTGACTCATCATTCAGAGTGATTTATAAAGTGAAAAGAAATCTACCGAAGGCAGTGTGTTTCCAACTATTCTGTACTACAGAAGCCTTTGGCATATACATCGAAAAGTCGGAGCTATGTGTTCAAAAGGAACTAACCCAAGGAACCTTTACACTTATCATGGATTTAATTCTGTTTGACTCCTTAGTTTTCGTTTGTTTGTTTTCCTCTTTAGTTATAAGAACTATTGCTTAAATTTGTTGCTATGCAAGTCTGTCTTCGTTTGAAACTATCTGACGCATTGCGCAACTATTTTCTTATTCTACGTAGTTTTAGTTCTCACTCTGTATTCAAACTTTCCCTCCGTTAATGTGTTGAATTAAATAATAATAATAATAGTAATAGTAATAATAGTAATAACTCTGACTATGTGAACTTGTGTATGAAAATATCCTTACAGTACCTACATCTTAATAGTTTTTGTCCAAATACCTTTAAACGAGCACTAGTCAAGACTCTGTACTATAGAGCTAGGAGGGAATATGCTCTGCAGAGAAATTAGAGGAAGAATTTATGATTCTCAGAAAGATGGTGAAAACCATCGGTTGTCCTCAGAAATTCGTTGACATGTACAGAAGAGATGTTAAGGCTCAAATGACGGACAAATCGCAGTGGGAAGAAGCCTGTCTTCATTCAACTCAATTTTAAAGGTGAAAATAATGCCGGAATAGTCAAAAGAAGATAAAGTACGTCACTAGCCAGAACCTATCCTGCAGGTAAATTGGTTCCTGTCTGTTGGACAACATGCTCTTCGGTGCTCTTCATGTTAACTCCAACTGTGTATACAAATTTACATGTATCTGCAGGAGCAGTTAGTTACATTGGGAAGACAGAAAGTAGGTCACATCTCCGATTTTCTGAACATGTACCGAAAAGCCAACATCTCAAGGCAATAAACGCTTATAATGGTACCATTATCAGGCATCTCCTTGATACGGGTCATCAGGTGGACGTCGCCAGATCATTCAACATTATCAATAGACAAAAATCTCGATTCTCCTCAAGTTCGTTGAAGTAATCTCTATCAAACGCCTGAAACCCCATTTATTTGTTCAGGAAGAAGAAGCAGTTATCAGTCTTTCTTTGCCCGCTCTGGTAACTGGATGTCTTTATTCTCTCTTTCATTTGATTACGTAATCTTTGGCTTTAACCTCAGACCCCTTTGATATAGTGCAATTTTGCTTGTCTCTTGTTTCTATGATTTGAGTTGAACTCAGTACATTGTTACCTAATTTATTAGTCATTCATCATTTTATGCACCTCTCATCTTTATTACGTAACTCCTTTACCATTGTATGCATACATTTGCTTTGTTGAAGCTTGAACTGCCTTCGTATATATAAAACTATATAAGCGTAATTTTCTGAGCACTGTTCACTGATATCATTTATAATTTTTAAGTATGTTAAAACTTTTCTGTACACAAACTTAATAATTTATTTCGGCTGTAAGCAGCAGTTGATGAGAAGCCAACGATATAAACAAAGGATGGTATCATTTTATTCTGCACAAACCACTGTTGTTCTTGCTTTATTCAAATATAAAAATGCGACTGTACAGCAGCTTTTGAGGATGAAGTTGCAGAAAAGACCTACTCTTCTTTGCTGAGCTTCTTATTCCTTTCCTCTCTAATGTCGTGATGGGTATTTCCCACGATTATTAGCATTTCAACTATGCGTTTTTTTATAAGAAGACAAACAGTACGAAATTCCTATGTCATGTTCACACTATTTTTAGTGAAATCTCATACTTTTATTTCGTGAGTTGACGTACGAAAGATATGAGCACACAGCTTTCGAGAGAGTGTGACAAATCAACTAGATCAGCTACTTATTGATAATTGATGCCCACTAGTGATTGGTTACAGAACGAAGTTTCCTGAAGTTCTAGTGAGAAGTCGTAACCACCAGTGGAGTCCATCCGGTCAGTGGTGAGGATAAATACTCACCGGTGACATTGACTGGTACTAATCGCGCTAAAGTCACAAATTGGTAGAAGTTAGAATTCATGGGCTGGCCATTAAGTCAAGTCCCCGTGGTTAAAAGGTTTTTTACCAGCTTGACTTGTAACGGGGAAGTCCTGGATTGTAACTCTGGCGGTGGGTGGGTTCTGCCGATAAGTCCCAAACTAGGCTGACGAAACAGCTGTCTAGTACTCCCAGCTAGTTTTCAATAGTTCTCTAACTGAAATCAATCCGTGGGCAAACCTAGAAACAAATCATATCCATACAAACTACCTCTTGAAAATTGTTATTCTACTAAGTATCGATGCAATTGAAATTTGTAAAATGAAGCGGTCGAGGAGAAGCAGTGCATTTGTTATAAAGATTTCTAGTAAGGTTAAGTTTCAATCTAGTTGTGGTAACCTTTATTATGATGTACAGTTAGTTGTCTATTGATAATTCTTAATGTACTTCAGGTAGAGTGTCTACATAATAACGCCTCTGGTATACAGAATAGTATGCACCACCGTACTTTTGGTCGAACTCAGTCTTTCTAAACTTAGAATCCTTTGGTTACAGGATTTCATCATGAGCTGACATCGGTTAGAGAAACATTAGAAAACCACCTGGGAGTACTGGACAGCTGTCTCGTCCCAGTTTGGGGCTCTTCATCAGTACGCGCCCACCGACAGGTTTCGAACCCAGGACCTTCCGGTTTCAAGGCGAGCTCGTAGACTATTAAGTCGCGAGCTCTACGAGTCCGCTTTGTAACCAAAGGATCCTGGGTTCGAACCCCGGTGGGTGCGTGCTGATGAAGAGTCCCAAACTGGGACGAGACAGCTGTCCAGTACTCCAAGGTTTTCCAATGTTTCTCTAACTGATGTCGGCTCATAATGAAATCCTGTAACCAATCAATCAAATTCCTACAAAGCAATACTCGAAAATTAGAATCCTTTGAGTAATTTAAACACAGCATGTCAAACGACTCATGTTCTGCACAAACAGGTCTTCGATCCTACTAATCACTACACTTAATGGGAAGACATATTAACATGATCGATTACAGAGATGACTGAAAATCAGCAGTTCAGGTTTCTTCAACTCATGCCTACACAACACAACTAGGTGACGGAGAAATGAAAATAATCCCATGAAGAATTTCCGCCAACAATAAATTAGTAAACTGACAGACTGGTTTCAACATAGAACTTTGCACCGATGTGCAGCAGTTCAAGTCGCCACACTCTTCACTCAGCACACAAAGCCAGAGAAGAAAGTAAAAAGAAACGCAAAACAGAGATATGAGACAAAAAGAATAGTGATAACGAAGAACAATATAGTTTCATTGGAAATTACAAGTCATAAGGAGTGGATGCATCTGCACCAACCATTGAGAACGATTTAGAGCCATATCACCAATTGTTGCCAGCCTTCATTGGCTTTTACCATCGCGAGGACCCTAACCAGTCAGGCAGTCTACACCTTCCTACGTGGCTAGCTGGCTTAAACTAACTGTTGTGGATTTCATTGACTGATGAAAGCATGTTTTGGTTTGACCAACACTAGCTCTTTTGTAACGTGATCGTATGTCAGCCAGCTAACATTGCCCGTCAAGGAAGGCGATAGCTAGGCTGGACATGCATAACACATATCCTAACCATCTCAATCGATGTAACTTCACAACCTCATCAATTGATTCCCCCTTTTTTCCTAGCACTCGACCCATGCTTCACCTCAATATTGCTCACCCTATTATACGACTTCACACGGGAGATAGAACGCAGACACCTATGATCAAAGACAGCTAGCCAGGCTTTTCATGTCTTCCACTTTCAATGGCCAGGTCTCACAGCCAGCCATAAAGGAGGACAGAGCGAACTGCTGATCATTACACACGCTCTTTGGTCGACAGCCAGTCGGATATCACGTCTATGCCAAAGACGGCGTAAACTAGCATATGCGAAACGAGCCTTCTGTATCTATGCTGAGAATTCGTCAGCGATCAACCCTCTGGAGTTGTCTGATGCAACTTCCCAATATTTACTTCACTCCTTATTTCTATGATAGGAGTCAATGTAGTGCAGTCCTGTAACATCATCTTACATTTGGTGGGAGCGAATCGCATGCCAAACATTCGAAGATAGCAACTCAAGGTGTTCAGAAGACTCTGCATTTGTTCAGAATCTTCACCTAGATGGACTATATCATCTGCATATTCCAAGTCAACGAGATTATTCCCTGGTAACAAGTCAATCCCTGAGTCGCTGAAGTCAGCAGTTAGGGTTAAGTTCATTAGTACATCTATGATGAAATTGAATAGAAATGGGGATAATGGGTATCCCTGACGAACACCACTAGTTGTCACCACTTCAGATGACAACTCGCCGTAAGCTCTCACTTAGCTGGCTGCATGAGTTCGAGTAGAGTGCCTAATCAATTAGTAGATTCGCGATAAAATGTGAATATATGTATGTCAGTGTCACACACACTGACGACAAAGATATCATATCACTGAAGACTTACGTTGTTGCTGTTGCTTTAACACCCGGTTGACCATCAAATACAACAACACGATCAGCTAAATACGTGGCCATAATAAAATCATGTTCAACAATGAAAGCGGTCTTCTTTGCATGCAGAATAAAACGTTTTATCACCTTAGCAGCATGTAAACGTTGTTCTGAATCTAAATAGGCTGAAGGTTCATCGATCAGGTAGACATCAGCAGGTTGTCCAAGACACAGAGTAATAGCCAATCTTTGTAATTCACCACCGGATAAATTCATCACCTACAAAAATATGTGATAGAAAGGAAACTTTATTTTTTTTGCTGCTGTTAAGAAAAATAGACAAAAGCTAAGGGGAAAAAATGACGACAGTTGGGACTTAATTAGGAGAATGTTTTGTAGCTTCAAACAAGAACAACACCTAACTAAGCAACTAACTGCATACTATATTGTGTACTGACTATTCCCTACCAGAATAATCTACACGATTGATAGGCCTGCTGAGAAGTGAAAATGTACAAATGCATAGTAGAAGATTAACTTTTACGATAAACGAATATATAATTTAAAAACAATTTACACATACTGACTAGTAAGTATATTTAACAATAATAAAACATGTAGCATTCCAATTCACAATCAGATTTTAAAAGATTCTCGTTTATCAGATAAGCCAGACACATATGTTAGACAAAGTAGATGAATGAAATTCTGTTTATCATTATTATTATTACTATTATGGTTCCCTTAGGTTCCGAGTGGAGCATAGGGCTTCAACAGCACACCTCCATTTTGCACCATTCTCTACAATTCTCTTCAGCTCTGGCCCAACGATCGCTCATAGTAGCTGATCTCCTCCACATCACCCTCGGACCAACCTCCAACTCTCTGTTTCACATTTGTGTTCCACTCGACCGATGGTCTGGTGTGCGATGCCACTCAACAGTCTCCTCAGTGGCGTGTGCCCAATCCATCTCCATTCTATTCGACATATTTGTTGAGCAATCGACTCTTGATTGGTTTATTTCCCAGACTTTCTTGCTGCTAATTCCTTCTAACCGGCTATCTGATCTTCAGTATGGAGCCAACGAAGGTGGCAGCTGTTGATAAAAGTCTGCAGTGACTTGTTGGAAATCGTTTTCTTTACGCGCTGGTCATGTTTCTGATCCGTATAGAAGAACTGATTGACTGATTTCACATTTGTGTTGAAAATCCGAATCTTGTTCTTTATGTTGGCTGAGCACACAAGATTTTCAAACTGGTCTCAGGTTGATGGTGAAGGCGTATCTTGCCTTTCTGATTCTGGCTGACTTTGACATCCGTTCCGATTGCCTGTGGCTGAGACGATTATAATTATCATCGTTTCTTTTAATTCCCCTAGAAGAACACAGGGCTTTAGCTGCACGTCTCTATTGCGTTCGGTTCCCTGCTTAAGTTTTCACCTGGCTCCAAGTCTGCCCATATGCTTTCATCTCCTATTCACATGACCTCCTCCAAGTCACCCTTGGACGACCAACTCACCTCTTCCCTTTCGGGTTCCACTTGAGGGCTTGTCTAGTGATGTCACTTGATGGTTTCCTCAGAGTATGGCCAATCCACCTCCATTTCTTCCTGCTTATTTGTTGCAGAGACGATACTTTCTAGATAAGTGAAGGGAGGATGTAACCTCATTCAAATCTCTCCCGTTGATGGTGATTGGTGCTGATTGCTGTTGGTTGGTTGGTTAACTTCATCACCTTCATCTTCTCTATGTTCACTTGGAGTCCTGTCTTCGCTGCCTACTTTTTCGGCCAGTTTGTTGGTTTTCACCTGCAAGTATGTCTGACATTAGACACACATCATCCACGAAGTCCAGTTCTTGTAGAGTCTTCATATCGATCTAGCATATTTTTGTCATCTCGCGCTCCCCACGCACACGGTGTATCACATAATCCAAGTTCACCTCAAATTAGGAAAATCATCGCTGATAAAAGGTAGTTGAATGAAATTTTGTTTTAAACTAATTCTGTCTTCTCAGTACTGATGATGATAATAATAAGAACAATAATCATAAATCCGAAATACATCTGATATTCAGGTGTTGTTGCAAAGCTATTTCACTTTTTCCGTCTATAAAGTTTATTAACAGTGAGAATTTATTATCCTACCTAGAAAGAATATTTCATATATGAACTGACTGACTGACTAGTTCCAACGTAGAACTTCGCACAGATGTACAGCAGTTCGAGTTGCCATTCTCTCTCCATGTAGCACACAAAACATAAAAAGAGGTTCAACAGAGAGATAATACACAGAAATGTGAGGAGAAAAGAATAGTAATATGGAAGAACGATACAACTTTATTGGATATGGCAAATCACAGAGAGTGGAGACATCTGCGCCATTGACAACGGTTTCGAGCCATATCACCAATTGTCTCTAGCTGTCTGTCTGTCTGTCTGTCTGAATTCAACATAGAACTTGGCACCGAAGTGCAGCAGTTCGATTTGCCACGTTCCAAATAGCACACAAAGGTAGACAAGAAGATGAGTGGTGAAGAGAATCAATAGAGTTTTGACAAGTATAAGAGTGAAACAGAATGAGTAATGGTAGAAAGGAATATGAAAGATTAAAGAGACTGAATACGTCTGCGCCATTGACAACGATTTTGAGCCATGTCACCAATTGTCACCAACCACTGATTCTTAGAGTCCTGAGGGCCCCAACCCGACTCCCTACCTGACTCAGTTTAACTCTCAAAGATTTCATGGATTAATGTCATGTTTTTGTTTGGCCACCACTTACTCTTTTCCAACCTGCATCTATATCAGCTAGCAATGCCCGTCGGGGGAGGCGATGGCTAGGCATGCGCAGCACGTGAACTAGCCATCTTAATCTATGTAACTTTATAGCCTCTTCGATTGATTTTCCCTCTTTGCCCAACACTCTACGCCTAATGTCAACATTACTCTAGCTGTCATTGGTTTTTACCATCCCGAGGACCCCAACCGGTCAGGCAGTGTACACCTCCCTACGTGACTGGTTGGCTTAAACTAACTGTTACAGATTTCATTGACTAATGAAGCCGTGTTTTGGTTTGACCATCACTAACTCTCTTTTTCCCAACCTGATCCATCCTATGTCAGCTAACATTGCCCATCGAGGATTTATATATATAGACAGCACTTTAAGACGCATTTATAGTGTGTGTCAAAGATTGACAGGTGTACAAGATCATTGACATGAAACTAATTAGCTTGGAATTCACACATCTGGTGTGCAGAGTTGTACGTGTTTATATGCGGTTATCTTGAGGTTATGATTAGTTAAAATTTAGGCACTATACTGCCTTAAAGTAACCGTTATAAGAAAATTTTAAACATCATCTATATTGCAGTATTACAAATTGATTAAAAAGTGAGGCATGATTAACAGTGAAATATCTTCACAAATATTTTTTTTATTTTAAAAATATCCCTGCACTTTTAGAGATAACTGCACTACAAAAACCAGAGTTGTAACAGCAATACAACAACAACAACAAGACTGAGTATAACAAGACGCATACAACACATAGAGTCTTATCTATCGATCGATGGATCGATCTACGTGTAGCTTTTGTACATAAACTGTTACAACAAACAACACATACAAGAGCATGAGATTGTTGTTTTCTCTCATGTTACCCCCCACCCCTGGCTAACCAGATGCCATAAGGTGGGTATTTATTTTTCTCAAAAAAAATGAAAAAACAAATTGAGCTATTTATAATTTACACGCAATTTACGTTGAAAAGAAAAGGTACTTGAAAAGTTTTGGAAAAAACACCCATTCAAATAATTTGAAATATGTTATAAGACAGCAATCAATCTTCAGGATGAAATTACGAGACAAAAAACATGTATCCAGGGTGTATTACAAAACTGCTACTACTACTAGCGACTATAACAAAAATAGTATTATTTACTGGATGACGTTCCACAGTATTTAAATTCCAAGGGAAAATATACAAACAAACTGAGGGAGTTGCCATGGGATCACCAATATCCCCGGTTGTAGCAGATATATTCATGGATGATAGGTGGGAAAACATAGCGATTGAAACGTTCAGCCCCACCCCACGTCGAAGTATGTTGGAGGTATGTAGATGACACATTCACTGTACTTAGAACACAAGATATAGATAGATTTTTCGAACACATCAACTCGAAGGTAGAGGCAATTCAATTCACTTATGATGAATTGGAAAGTCAGGAAGGGGAGCTTCCAATGTTAGATTGCAACGTAAAAAGGAAAGAAGATGGGAAGTTAAACACTAGTGTTTACAGGAAACCCACACACTCAAACAGATATTTGGACTTCCGATCGTCCCATCCTATGTCAGTAAAAATAGGATTGGTGAAATGTTTAAATGACAGAGCACAAAAACTAAGTAGTACCAAAGAAAATCTAAAACAGGAAGTGATACACATAAAAGAAGCCTTGAAACTTAATAATTACCCGGATAAATTAGTCAGGAAATATGTAAGGAAATGTAAAAATAAAATAATGATAGTAGCGATAGTGATAATAACAATAATAATGATAATAATAATAATAATATTAATGACGACACCAACAATAAGGAATCTAAATCATCAGTAGTAATTCCATACAAGGAAGGAACCTCGGAAACCTTACGCAGAATTCTTAACAAGGCAGGAATAAAAGTGGCTGGCATTCAAACCCACAAACTCAATTAGAAACAAGCTTTGTCGGTTAAAGGATCAATCCTGTGGAGCCGTTAAAACAAAACAATTTAGTTTATCTAATACCCTGCTGGAATGATTGTCAGGTCAAATACATAGGTCAAAGTAGTAGAACAGGGGCAGTCAGACTAACTGAACATAAAAACTTAGCAAAATCTAGATTGGTTGACCCGAATAAGATAAGAAATCTAGAGAATAGTTCAGCTACAGCACTACACCGAATGGAATTACACACAACTATACAATATGATGGGATAGGATGAAAGTTTTAAAATCTAATGTAACAGGGTGGAAGGAGGAAGAGATTGATAACAGAAGCTTTGTTTATCGAATCAACTGCAAATACATGTAATAGGAATGATTCAACACCTGTCCACGCAGATATCTGGAAAATTCTACTACGCCCCTACGACAAATAGGAGAAGACAAAGAAAACTATAAAACTCAAGTTTCGAAGTCGTGTGATTACAATTGATATGATTATGAACAATAAATTTTGTTCGAAACGTCATCCAGTAAATACTAATACTGTTTCACTCTGTGTGATACATCTAATAAACAAACTAATATGGAATTACTACCACAGTGCCCAAGTTTTACACATTTATTAATATAATAAAAATAAGCTTCAGTTGAGAAATTGTGAGTTGTTCAAATATATATATATATAGAACTGGTGGGTTTTGAATTGATTCAGCTCTCTCTCTGAGCTAAGTCAAGTCCGGTGGGTACACCGCCTCCGATGAGCTCGAGACCCCAAATGAGGTAAAACAGCCATCCGGTGGTGTTTGGATTACCTCGATCTGGTTAGCTGGTAAACACTACCACTGGTTTATATGAGTAGTATACAACAACACTACTTGTCTCAATCAGTCAGTAGTATATACAGTTTTATAGAAGTCTCCACCTTCTCTAGGTTCGCCTGCAGTCCTGTCTTCGCTGCCCGCCTCTTCTGCCAGTTAGTTGGTTTTCGCCTGCAAGTCTTCGAGTTTGTGTGACATTAAACCTACATCATCCACACGTGAAATCCAGATCTTCTAGAGTCTTCTTATCAGTGGACCAACGTATTCCTATCCTCTCGCTCCTACGCATAGTCTGACGCATAATCCAGTCAGTCCACCACAATTAAGAATATTATCAGTGATAATAGGGATCCAGCTTGTCTTACTCATGCATTAGCTTCGAAAGCCTTACTGAGTTTTCGCGTTATCGATTACCTGACATGTGGCATTGTTGTCATATAGCCAACTGTTAAATGAGGTTGATAAAGACTTGGGGCACTGAACGCCGTATAGTGTTGAAAAAAGTGATTTGAATAGGCCACTACTATATAGGCTTTCATGTTCTCACTACTCACACTCAAATGATTACGTATACGTAAAACAATTTAAAAAACTTTCTTTTTTTACTTTAGATTGATATAATATTACCACCTACCTGTTGATCATACAATCGTTCCATTTGTAATGGTTTAAGTACATCTGTTGAAAATTGTGGATGTGTAAATGAATCTCGAATTTTTTCCAATAGTAAATTTTGTACAGTTTTTTCTGATTTTGGACTAATTTTTTGCGGTTTATACGATACATGTAACACTGGACATTTTTCCTCTCCATCTGGCTTTAAATTACCCGCCAACATTCGAATAAAGGTTGTTTTACCTGTACCATTCTCTCCAAGCATAACAATAATTTCAGAGTCAGTAAATGTACCCGCTTGAACAGTTAAATCAAATGTGCCTAAACTTTTATACATAGTTGGATAATCATAACGAGCAGTACGCTTCAATTCTTCTTCATTACCAGTTTCCGATACCTGAGAATTCAAAAAAAATAAAACAACATAGATTATTAAAAGTATATTACACTTTGATTGGACACTAGTAACTAGTGTTGTCATGACAGAAGACAAGGGCCAGGCAACAGATCGTTTATTGAGAAAATCAAGAGGTATTTATAGATTTTTATGTGCATTATTATTAACGTTATTGTTAGCGGAGAAACAACCTCTTCTGATTGGTTGTTTTCTCGCTGAAGGTTATCTCTTATGTTATCTCTTTATGGCCGTTTCTCAAAAAATTAAGCCATATATCTGCGAATCATATTTCCACACGTTAACTCCGCTGTGATTGGCTGGTGATTTTCTCAAGGTTAAGCTTTGTTATTCTTTTTCTCATGACCCTGATTCGGGACGTGAACATTGACGTAAATCGGTGTCTACAATTTATGGCTTGTAGGCCGCTCTCAACACAGTGTGATGTGTCTAGTCCTGTCTCTGGTGCAGACTGAATTCTATCAGTCAGGTTTGCAATGTGGCCATTATTCTAGGTAGCCCACCATCACGGTGCACATTGATTTGATGATATTAGATGGTTGGATGCAATCGGCAGGAATCCTTGAACACCACCTAGGTTTCGTGCTAGTTGGCACTCACCAGTCAGCAAGGCGTATCTGCAACATGACTGATAGAATTCAGTCTGCACCAAACAAAGGGCTAGACACATTACACTAGTTACTGACTAGTGTCCAATCAAAAATACCCAGTACAGTCTCAAAGGAAGTAAATCGCGAGCCCGAATAGCTCAGTGGTAACGTCTCTGACTGCAGCACTGGGTGAAGCGGGTTCGAATCTTAGGAGGGATATGAGTTCCCTCAAGATTGCAGATACGCCTTGCTGACTGGTGAGTGCCAACTAGCACGAAACCTAGGACCAAGGCTTCTTGCCGATTGCCTCCAACTATCTAATACATTTACATGATAATCGAGACAATTTAAGTAACTTGATATGAAAGTGATAATAGAATTTAGTACATAACATCTTCTAGATGATAGCTACACGTATAACATTAGAAGACAAAAGAATTCGATAACAGTACTATTTATTAGCAAGTCGATACAGGTAAAATACGCCTGCCGTATATTTGAATCACAATTTGCATATGTCTTTCGTATTGTGCTTCTTCGCCTGTTTTTCATGTCTTCTATGTTATTTCACAATCATCCTTCATTAAATCAATCTCTCCTTTATTCGATATTCTTGCAGCTGATACATATTTATATCTGTATCTATATACTACTTATACATCTTGTCAGTAGCAAACGATATGCAGGAAGTGTTAAGTTATATACCTTATTATTTGATTGCTGTAGTGAACAACTGTTTGCGATTTTCAAAAAAAAACATAAACTTTGAAGTAATTTGGTGGATGATGACTAACAGTGGAGGAATCCAGAATGAGCATTTTGTCCTATTTCGGACTCGTCAGCTAGTGGATGGACCTGAATTCGCCTCAACTGAGACTTGAACCCAGGGCCCCTTGTTTAAAACACCAAAGCCTTATCTACTAGTGTGGTGAGAGCTGGCTGCTAGCCAAAGTTGTTAGACAGTAATTTACGTCAATGTTTACGTCCTCAATATTGGTCGTGAGAAAATATGAACAAGGATGATTCAAAAACCAACCACAGCAGACTTTGCGTAGGCGGATACAGTTAGCATATAGATGATCTGACATTCAAGAAATACTCACAAAGAGATGAAAGATTAACTTTCAGTGCGAAACAACCAATCAGAAGACTGTGTTTTTCTGCTAACAATAATCTACAATAGTGTACATGAAAAGCTATAAATAAGCGTTGATTTCCATAATAAACGATCTGTTACCTGACCCCTGTCTTCTGTTGTTACACTGGACCACTTCAGCCATGACAGCCACCTCTTCTGTAACGGGTATCACTTACTACTCGTCCCAAATAGGATGAAATGTGCATCCTGTGTATTGCACTGCGCTAAGTAACAACATTATGGTAATCCATAGAGATCATTAAAAAAGCGTCCGTACTAAGAGCCAAAATGTGTCAACAGAGGCCGGACATTTTCGTTCAATCAATCAACAGGAAAATCAACAGTCCACTTAAATCAATAAAAAAATACACTTTCTCTTCTTTCTATTTATTTTGGCAATTGATGAGCAATCTTACATATCTCACACTTTCTAACCTTAGACACTGCAAACATCATCATTAACTAGTAACTAATGAATGTCTGTTACGTAATGTGTATCCAGATTTAGAGTAAGACCGATCGATGAGAATGTTAGCCTTATCAACACGCCTATAATATCAAATTTATTTGAATAAAACAAGAACACCTGTTTGTGCAGGTGTTCATTTTGTTGGCTTCTCATCAGCTGCTTACAGCCTGAAGATATTATTAAGCGGTTTATGTACAGAAATAATTTTAACATACTTGCAATTTCCACGTGATGTTAGTTGACAGAGAGTTCAAGTCCAAACAAAATAATCAATGTATGCATACAATGGTGAGGGAGTGAGTTACGTAATAAAGACAAGAGGTGAGTAAGATGATGAGTAACTAATAAACGCAGTAACAATATACTGAGTACAACTCAAATCACAGAAACAAGAGACAAGTAAAGTTACACTATATCAATTGACGCACTCAGAATGAAAAATAGGATCCGGATTTTCAACTCTAATGTGAAGTCAGTGCCACCTACTATACGGATCAGAGACTTGGCGAAACGCGCGTCACGAAGGGCACTTCGAACAAACTACACACCTTCATCAACAGCTGTCTTCGCTCAATACTACTCAAGATCAGATGGCTGGCCAGAAAAGATCAGCAACAGCGATCTCTGGGAGCGAACCAACCAGGATCCAATTGTGCAACAAATATGCAGGGAAGAAATGGAGGTGGATTGGAGGCCATACTCTGAGAAAACAAACCATCAAGTGATATCACACGCCAGGCCATAGCTTCAGTGAAACTCGAATGGGAAATGGCGAGTCGGTTGTCAGAGCGAGGGTGACATGGAGGAGGTCATGTGAAGAGGAGATGAAAGTATGTGGGCAGACGTGAAGCCAGGTGGTGACAAGATTGTCAGATAACCGAACGCAATGGAGACGTGGGGCTGAAGCCCTATGTTCCTCTACGAACTAAAGAAAACAATAATGATATAATAATATCAATTGACGATACGAATAATGACATCTAGTTACCAGAATGAGCAAGGAAAGACTAATAACTGCTTCTTCTTTCTGAACACATAAATCGGGTTTCAGGTGTTTGATGGAGATCGCTTCAGCGAATTTGAGGAGAATTGAACTATTTTTTTCATTGATAATTTTAGAGGATTTTGAGATTTCCACCTCGTGACCCGTATCAAGCAGATGCCTGACAATGACACTATTGTAAGCATTTGTTCCCTTGAGAGGTAGGCTTTCTGGTACATAATCACAAAATCAAAGGTGTTACCTTCTTTCTGTCCTCCCAATGTAACTGCTCCTGCAGATACATGTAAATTTGTATACATAGCTGGAGTTAACATGAGAAGGGTATCCGTCTACGTTTGATTGCCCCAAGGACCATGTTGTCCAACAGACAGGAACCAACTTAACTGAAGGATAGGTTCTGGCTAGTGACGTATTCCATCTTCTGTTGACTATTCCTGAAATAGTTTCACTTTTAAAATCGAGTTTTTCCCACTGTGATTTGTTCGACATTTGAGTCCTCACATCTTCTGTATTTGTTAACGAATTTCTGAGGATAACTGTTGTTTTTCAACATCTTTTCGAGAATCATAAATACCTCCTCTAATTTGCCCTGTCCTTTAGAATTATCAATGAGCGAAATAGCTCAGTTCTCCTCAAATTTGCTGAAGCAATCTCTATCAAACACCTGAAACGTGATTTATGTGTTCAGAAAGAAAAAGCAGCTATCAGTCTTTCCTTGCTCATTCTGGTAACTGGATGTCATTATTCTTTTCGTCAATTGATATAGTGTAACTTTACTTGTCTCTTGTTTCTGTGATTTGAGTTGTACTCAGTATATTGTTACTCAGTTTATTAGTTACTGATCATCTTACTCACTTCTTGTCTTTATTACGTAACTCACTCCCTCACCATTGTATGCATACATTGATCGTTTTGTTTGGACTTGAACTCTCTGTCAACTGACATCACGTGGAAATTGCAATTATATTAAAATTATTTCTGTACATAAACCACTTAATGATACCTTCAGGCTGTAAGCAGCTGATGGGAAGCCAACGAAACAGATGATGGTTCTGAAGAAACAGTTGTTCTTGCTTTACTCAAATTCATAACGGGGAATATAATGTATGGGACACCTTTATTTAGGTATTTGTTTTGTAGGGATTTTCTTTGATTGGCTGGAAGATTTCATCATGAGCTGACATCAGTAAGGGAATTATTGGAAAACCACGTGGGAGTACTGGATAGCTGTTTCGTACTAGTTTGGGACTCTTCATCCTCATTTAGTTCACTTTCGAAGCTCCTGCGTTTTGTGTGTGTGTGTGTGTGAGTGAACAGAAGACAATGCTAACAACTCATCTTTAGGGCAGACTTATTTTTGAAACTATGTTCAGAGAGTTGTGTCAATTATGGTTAGACTAGGTGTGTTCCATGGATAAACGAGACTACTTCCCAAAAGTTGGTGTTACCACTTTTTTTTCAATGTCAATTCTCTCGCAAAGTCAATTCTAAATTTAAAATTGAGACTTAATGCATAAAATGAATAACACTCAGCCAGATTATTGATTATGTAGTTAGATCCCCTTCAGTCCAGTGAAGAGTTTTAAGCATTTAGGTAGGAGAATTGAATCTAGATGAGTGCCACCATCTGACTGGTAACAAGAACTTCCACACACACGCATAGCTGTTAAGTGGTGGTACACCGACTCAATCATCAACGTCGACCAACTTTACGACAGAAAGGTTAAAAGCAATTCCAACAGCATAGCTGTTTGCTCTATATTCGACAATCACCTACTTAGA